TTCTCTTTCTTTCTTTATTAAATTATAATGTTACCACAGTACCAACATGTTGATCTGTGACATGCTTTTTAGAATTAACAGAACATAGAGGACAACCTTCTAAGACAGAGGATGTCAGTCTAGAGTCTCTGGTGGGCAGATGCTGAGCTTGAAGTGCGAGGGGGCTTAGGTTTTCTTTCTGTCTTTGTTTGGTAGAAATGAAAGCATACCTTCACCTAGTCTATGGCTGTGTAACAGGTCTTCAGGGCCACGTCAATCTGCTGTAGCAAATATATGTCTAACACAGCAGTTACCATCAGGGCTACTACTCCATCCATTTACCGTCATTCTCAAAGAACAACCAAGTTCCCACAGATGAATGCAGTGGAGGTATGATGGAACCACCACTCTTGAGACTGCCATAATTCCTACTGGGATGCCATATTGTTTCTGCATTTGCTGTCTTAGTCGGGGGCACTTTCAGAGGTTTATATTTGGTCTTTGCCACCATGAAAGCTAAGGTGGGATCATTTCAAATGCTAATTGCTAGGTATGTAAATCCCAGTTATGCATACATTCAAGTACCGTAGAAATGACCTCTATCTCCAACAAATGTAGGACTAATGGGGAATGTTTGCTCCAGAGCTCCCAGCTGGTTTGGCTGAGGGATGGTTGTGAAAGGCTTAATAACCTTGGCGTTCTCGTCTCCCCTTCACCAGTAATGACAGCCATGAGTCTTTCCCCAGTGGTTCCTCATTAACCCAAAGTACCCCCCAACAAACTCACCATTTGCGTTCCCCCTTCTCAGTCAACCTGTTTGCCCTCCTGATCCTTAGACTTTCCTCCTTCTATAATGAAATCACCTCTTCCCAGTAGTGCAGACTTTGAACGTCAAACATCAGAGACCTTTTGTTTTTAAAGTTTTTCCTTCTCAGATCTGACAAAGTCTAGAGATTTTACGAAGTGGCTCTTTTCATTCTCTCTCCCCATTGCCCCAACACTTTTCCTCTTTGTATGCTTTTGAACTCTCTATTCAGCCTTTATAACTCAGATGACATGTCACCTCCTCCAAGGAAAACTTCCCTGACTGTTTGACCTCCCCTCCCCACTAACACATACTTTATATACATCACACTGTTTTTCTTTAGATCATTTCCATGTCTGTATGCATTTTTCATCTCTGTCCCCAGCACCTATCAGAATGCCTGGTACCCAATGGGTGTACAATCAAATTCAATTGCATTAAATTATTTAACTGCTAACAAATTTGAGCAGGGAGCAATGTGCTCCTTGCTTAATAAGCTTCATCAGTTTCATGTTGCCTATTTCAGGAATCTTGAAGTCCTTGTACTAGCATTTAAGGCTTTCATGATATAACCCTAATCTCCCAATCTCTCCTCCCTATGGGTACGCTAGATAGCAGCCAGACTAAACTAGTTATCCTTTCTCCACTATATTCCCTGCCTCCCACATCTTTGCTTTTGCTCAGGCATAAATGCATCCTTCTCCACTGTCTACCAATAATTTGCCAAATCTTCCTCGTCCTTCTAAAATCATCGCAAAAGCCAGTTCTCAGAGGAAGTGTTCCCTGATTCCCAACAAAGCTCTTCCTCCCAACACCCCTGAGTTCCTAACATCACCACCATCCAGTACTATTATTATCACCATTAACATGACACATTGATTAAGTTTCTTTTATGAACTGTTTTTTAATGCATTTAATTGTGAGGTTTTTGCCCTGAGAATTCAATGAAAGTCTCATAAATTTAAAAAAAAAAAAAAAAGTTGGCCATTGTTTTCTATCACCACTACTATTAACCTGTGACACTTGAGAGATGTTTTTGCACCAACCAAGGCATCTAGTCCATCTCCGGGCACTGAGCATCCTCTAGAACTACAATTTTAAGAAACGTTAGAGACCAAACAATGATTTAGGCCTGGCTTTTCCCTATCTCTCCATCAGTATGTTTTCACCAATATCCCCTTCTCGTTCCCCAATAGAAGGATGCACCATCTCCCGGAATTGTCACTTTCTCAGAGAGGCCATCCTTGCCCACTGAATAGAACGTGGTTCTAGCCCATTATAGTCTTCCTGTGCTTTTTCTTCACAACCCCTGTCTCAATTTAATGTGTATGCTTATCATCCATTGCTTTTGTAATGTCTTTCTCCCACAAGTCTGTGTAACTCCATGAGGGAATGGATCATGACTATTTTGTACCCTGCTGAAACAGGCATTTCTTAAATAATCATTGTCTATTACATACACATTTTATAAATATTTTCTCCAAGGTTGTGTATCATTTTTAAACTTTCAATATTTTATAGTCAAATCTGTTTATCTTTCCACTATGGCTTCTGAAGTTTCTCTTAACGTAATTCTAAATTGCTTCCCTTGGACTATGTTCCTACAGGTGGGAAAGTTAAACAGGCATCTCCTTAATGGTCTTGATGCATTTTATCTAATTGAACAGCCCCCTGGCAAAAGTGTGACTTGTATTCTTAAAACTCTCCCAGTGGCCTTATGTTATTAGGTTTTGCCAGGCAAGCTAGATAGAATTCATTTAACAGTAGGTAAGCATGGCTCTGAAAATTTCGGGAACTTAGTGCTTCGAGCAGGGATGCTGTGCTCAGCACTGTGTACAAGGGGGAACTTTAGTACTCCCCTCTGATCATTAGCACCAAATTATTTGATAGTCCTCTCATGGTTTACTTTTACTCAAATGAATGTACAGATTTGTCCATACCCATTGTCCCCAAAAACTCACTTTGCTTTATTTCTGTAGCAACTAGATCACTTCTAAGGTCTGTGGTCATCCTGAAAATATGTTACTCTCTTTATTGGTCACTCACTACTCATGGTACAGGTTTCCCCTACTCTCCAAAAGTAGAGCATTTCTATGATACATTTTGTAAGCTGAAGTGGCATTACACAAAGAAGCAATTACCATTAATTTATATGGAAAAACCTTTGAGTGTTCCCATATCCCAAAATAACCTACCAAATCATACCACATCCACTTAATTACATACAGTTTAATGCTAAGTGTAACACCCTTATAAGCTCTCTTAGGCTTTTCTAATACCTTAGGATACATCTTGCAAACAGATGCACAAAATAAATTGAGATGAAGCACAGCTGCTCACAGACACAGTTCAAAGCCAGGAGGGCTTGAGGTTGTGATACTGAGTGTAGTTTGTGGGGAAGGAGCGTGGTGATACCTTCAAGTTGTTCCAGATACATGCTGCCTCTGTAGAGCTTGCTGGGAAACAAAAGCTGAATGCTATTTTCACATTTCCTCTTTTCTTACAAAAGGGAAAATCCTTTTTGGATTTCTTTCAGTTACAGAAAGCAGGTACAGGTTTTTCATAAAAACAAAGTGGTGTAACTTAAACTTTCGGAAAGCACGACCTACATGTAATGCATAGTGTCTTAGCCAACTGGGTAAACAACATGACCTGGCCATTCCAGTCCAGCTACCATAAATGGTGCCAATTATAACACCAGTTCCCATCATAGGGAAATGACATTAAAGAATGTAGTTCACTGTGAGAGTAACCTGATAAATATTATTGGATGGGATGACATGGAGACAAGAGTTTGGTGACCTCAGTTCACATTTAGCCATCTCTGTTACCATCATAAGACTTCACCTGACCTTTAATCATCACACAACACAGGGCAGTAGTGCTGGGTAAGTCAGGCCAAGTGCCCAGTGGGATTTTCCTAAATTAGAACTGCCTGTAATGTATCGTTTCCATTGCCTTTCCTCTGCAGATTAAAAGGTATAATTCTTTTTAATATATATGTTTGCCTATTCCAGATCCCAAACACATGGGGGGAAAAAAAGCAAATGCACACTTTTTTATTATTTCTGTTCTTAGGATGTAATGCAGGAAAAAGAAGGGATTTTTACCTTAAATTTACTAGCTCCATCAGAGAGAGTTTTATTTAGTCTTATTTTCTTTTCTCTTTCTTTTCTTTTTTTTCTTTATCAAGCTATGCAAATATGTAAAAAAGGACTCAAAATACAAACATAAATCTCAATAGTATCAAGATCCATTTTCAAAGGGAAGTGCAATTTGAACTTCCTCTGTGTTTTTCCAGCTTTAGTAAAAAAACAAAACAAAACAGGGTAGAAATCATGAAGATGCACCCCACATAGTCCCAGTCCTGGTGTCTTTCAAGGCAAGGGGTCCAGGGAGGGACAATATAAGAACATAAGTAGCTACAATATAATGCCATAAGTGACAAAGGTCATATTTGGAGGGGCAGGGGGAGAAGGAATCAGGAAAGCTCTCTTGCAGCACCTAGTTTGTGCTGGGCACAGGGCTAGAAAACAATGTCTTAGGCCAAGATTTGGATTAAGGACGTTTTATGCAGGAGAACAGAGCCAGCAAATACTTGGAAGAAAAAGAAGGTGGGTCAAACTGACAAACTGATCCTTTTTTAATTTTGTTTTTAATTAACAGTATTAAACCTAATAGAGAGAAGCAAATCGATGGCCTTTTATTGCCACAAGAAAAAGTTGATGTATTTTGGGCAGCTCCTCAAACCTCAGCAAAAAAGGTACTTCCAGTTTCTGATGCGTGCTGTTTTCTTGCTGGAAGAACTCTTCAGGCTGCTTATTCCTTTCGCTGTCCAATGGCAGAGAAGTCCATACTTTTGAACACAGCTGACTGGCTACTGTAAAAGCCCGCTGTGAGCAAGGACCAATGAGCTCCCGGAGCCCAGATTCTTGGAAATAGTTTCTGGCCAGGAACGCGTGACATTGAGACAGCCTTGCACTTGTCAACAAGGACGAGACTGGGCTGGACGCCTGCCCACGGGATCCAGGCCCTGTCCCAGGTGGCTGATCTAGAGCCCACCTACTTCCAGATGCCCACTTCGGCTTTCTCCTACCCCCTTAACCCTCACAGCTTCGGGCAAGGGAGTCAGGCCACTCTGCAGTGACTGCCACTGGCCAGCGGGGCCCAAAGTTCTTTGAGTGGATTGGCCTGGTTCCAGCCTCTGGACGCGTCTCCGAGTCCCAGTGACTCCTCCCCGTTGGAGTTGGGGGGAGCGCGCGGGGGAAACAAATAAAACTGCAGGCGACGGCCGGTGGTGGCAAGACGAGCTGGAGTCTCAGGACCCTTCCTGCTCCTCTGACTCACTGCTCCTTCTGACTCGCTGCCGGACTCCTCTGCTCTGAAACACCCCGGACCCTCAGCCCAGACCGAGGTGCACCAGCCGGCCAGCACACCTGCGCTGCCCACCCGGACGCGACCCGCCCCCTCCTCGGTCCCAGGCTCTGCTCCTTGCAGCCTTCCCCCGGAAGCCAGCCCCAGCCCAGCCCCTGCCAGGCCCGGTGGGCATCAAGATGAAGGCGGCCCGCTTCGTGATGCGCAGCGCCCGCTCTCTGAGCGGCGCTAGCCCGGTGCCCCGCGAGGTCGAGCATTTCTCGCGCTACAGCCCATCCCCGCTGTCCATGAAGCAGCTGCTGGACTTTGGTGAGCGAGGACAAGGGGTCTGGGGCGGGGGCGTTGGGGTTGGCGAGCTGCCTTAACTTTAAGTCCCGGCGCAGGGAGGGCCGGCCTCATTGTTTAAAAAGAATTGGGGTCGGGCTTTCTGCTGAAGCCTGGAACCTCGACCGCCTGCACACTTTGCCTTTTTTTACATCCGCCTTCTTTCTGACAGTTTTTTGTCTACAGGTAGAGGTCACTTACACTTTCGCTGATGCTGGATGGTTTGAGCTCATCTTTCTGTCCAAAACTTCCGTCAAAATACTTTTCGCTTTCCGTCAGCATTTAACAATGAATGAGAAACTTGATCCCTTCGTCGCACAGTATTTCTTGGAAAAGATTCCTAACATTATAAAGTAGCCTAAAATTAATTGAGATTTTTATCCCTTGGACACCGCCCACAGAGTACCATGTCTGCGTTCCTAACAAATTTCTTTGCTTCTCTACCATTAAAGTTTTAAAATATTTGCATTATTGCTGAAAATATTTATAGACTTGCCACAGCAACCTTACAAGGAAAATTTCAAAGATTTAAAAGTGATATCATTTATTTATTAGTAACCGGTAAACATCATGACTTCCACGCCACCCCCTTATCTCCACTCCAATTTCATAACTACAGCTTGTCATAGTGGTGTTGACTGAACCCTCCAATCGCCCATGAATATTAAGAGCTGTAGGGTAGTCACTTCGTGGAAGTGAACCCTCTTAAACGAAAAAAAACAAAACACAACACAACACTAATTCTCATGTTGGTAACTTTAAGAAAAGAAAAAGACAAGAAGATACTTCTGAATTATCTATGAACAGTAAACCGACTAAGGGTGAAAAATCTCTCTCTCTCTCTCTCTCTCTCTCTCTCATATGGGATGCTTCATGAATTTGCGTGTCATCCTCGCTCAGGAGCCATGCTATTCCTCTCTGTATTGCTCCAATTCTAGTATATGTGCTGCTGAAGCAAGCGAGCACTGAAAGTAATTTTATAATACATGTGAGCATTTAATATTGGATAGTTAATGCTACTCAAATATATCATTTAGACATACTTGTTTCCAAACGCTAAATAAGTGTTATTTATTACAGGTTCAGAAAACGCATGTGAAAGAACTTCCTTTGCATTTTTAAGACAAGAATTACCTGTGAGGCTTGCCAATATCCTGAAGGAAATTGATATCCTCCCTGATCGATTAATAAATACCTCTTCAGTGCAGTTAGTTAAAAGCTGGTAAGTAGTAAACCACTCTGAAACAGTCTCTAGTTTTAAGACCGTTATCTGAGTATGAATTCTTACAATCTATTAATATCATAGTTGGAAAACCAGTCTTCTGAATGGTAGATACTTTTGAATCATGTAAAGAATTTTTTATTAATTTAAAGTGAGTTATCATAAGGGCAGTTGTAAAACTAGAAACAGACACTTTATCCTGAAAAAGTAGGTTCTTTCACAATAAAATTTTTATTTCTAGGGTAAATATGAAAACTAATTGACAGTTACAATTTGTTTTGTATTTTAAATAATAAAAGACAGAGCTTGATGTTATAAAAGCAGTCTTATCCTCAATGTAGATATGAATGACTACTTTTGAGAGAGGGCCTCATCTTTTTTATTTACAAACCAATTAACAGAGCAGGTTCTGGGTTCACATCCTGCTTCTGCCTCTTCCTAGCTGTGGAATTCTTGGAAAGTGTCTTAAAATCTCTATTACTCAATTCCCCCATCTATTACTGAGGAGGATAAAGCATTTGCCTCAAAGGGATATTTGAATGTAATTAAATGAGGTAATCCATTAAAAAGCATTTAGAATATGGAGCACATGGCTAGTATTCAGTGCAGTTAAAATCATCTCATTTTATAAATAAGGACACTGAGGCTTAGAGAGCATAGATAACCAAAGGGGCAGATTTTCAGAGACTAGAGCCAGGAGATGCCCTGAGGCAGATATGCACCAGAGCCTCACCTTAATCCACTGACTGCACAGCTTTTTGTTCATTGATTCAAGAAATGTATGTATTATATACCCATTAAACCATTACAATCTTAAATACATATTCAATCCATAGTATGTACTTCTATTCACCAATGAATGGAGTGGGAAAAGTATGAAAGCTTTCTTAAGATGTTTTTAAATGCTTTTGCCATTAAAAAATACATTTGCCAAACAAAACAGAAAATTGAATACTGACCTAGAATAGTTAAACAAATATAAACTTTAACTTAGAAACTTAAGGAATAAGGTTATACCTTTTCTTTTGAGATATTGTTTTCCAAATTTTTGGAGTTTAATTGTAAACATAATATTTTTCGAACCATTTGGAAAAGACACTCTATTTTCATCTGTTTGAATCTGACTGTTCAGTTTTAAAACTTGAACAGGTATATCCAGAGCCTGATGGATTTGGTGGAATTCCATGAGAGAAACCCAGAAGACCAGAAAACATTATCAGAGTAAGTTCTATGCATTAGATTAAGTATTTAAAATTTTGACTATTTCCAGACATAAGTCCTATAATAAATGATATGTACACTTATAATCTAAGAAATAGGAGTGAATGAACCTTACTTGAACCTTCACTAAATGTAAACGTGTTTTGGCTTAGTTTTGTAGATACTCTCATCAAAGTTCGAAATAGAAACCATAATGTAGTTCCTACAATGGCACAAGGAGTCATAGAATATAAAGATGGCTGTACAGTTGACCCAGTCACCAATCAAAATCTTCAATATTTCTTGGATCGATTTTACATGAACCGTATTTCTACCCGGATGCTAATGAACCAGCACAGTAAGTTAATTTATCATAATCAGGATATACAGAGATGGGTGTAGACTATAAGCCATACTCTATCTAGACTGGTGGATCACACTTTTTTTTTGTCAGTGGTAGTTCTAATCATTATTATCCTGATTTTTATATAATATTATATAACATGTTCATATTTATTTTTCCACAGTTCTTTTATTTAGTGACTCAGAGACAAGAAACCCAAGCCACATTGGAAGCATTGATCCAAACTGTGATGTAGTAGCAGTGATCCAAGGTAATTTCTAGATTTCTTCATTTCCCTTATTGAAAATGTACGCTATATGATTTACATACAGTTGAGATGACTCTGTAAATGAATTTATATTCCAAGTTCTCCCTTGATATTTTTATAAATACTGTCAAAAGTTCCTTTGCTTTTGAAGATCAGGAGCTTAAACACGCATTTATTAATATTATAAAAACATCAGGTTAATGTGTCATATTCTTATATATTATGTTTGATCTCTGAGGTGTGCCTATTCTCATTGCTATTGTTGTAACTTTAATAATTTAATAATAATGTCATAATTCCTTCAATAAAATATTAAAAAGGTATTTTTGGTATACATAAACTTGTACTCTAATGCATATTTTAGCTTAAGGGTAGTGTATGTACTGAACATCACTTGAAAATATTACTTGGCACAAATTCATTTCATAATTATGAAAAAAAAACCCTTTTATTCCAGATGCCTTTGAGTGTTCCAAGATGCTTTGTGACCAGTATTACTTAACATCTCCGGAATTAAAGCTCACACAAGTGAATGGTAAGCTATGAATAAAATATATTTGAATCTATGGAAAATCCAGTGTCCTCCACCATGGTTAATAGTTTAAATACAGAGCAACTTCTGTGTTCCAATTTCCCCTTCTGAATATGCCTAGAGTTTGTACACTTTTTTATTTTGAAGCCAAGTTTCTCTTTATCTCAACTGGAAAGTTCCAACTGAGCATATTCAGTTGCTAGTGATGATTCATAACGAAGAATAGTTTAAACTAGGAGTTTAGGATATAGAGTAACAACTTAGTGTCAGTATCTTAGATCAAAGAAAGATTGCTTAGTGCGGAACAAGTGGAAGCAGTGGCTGGTGTGGCTCAGTGGATTGAGTGCCGGCCTTCAAACCAAAAGGTTGCTGGTTCAATTCCAACAAGGGCACATGCTTGGGTTGCAGGCCAGAACCCCAGATGGGGGCATGTGAGAGGCAACTGATCATTGTATCTTTCACACATCCATGCATCAATGTTTCTCTCCCTCAATGTTTCTCTCCCTCTCTTTCTTCCTCCCCTCCCCTCTCTCTAAAATAAATTAAAAAAAAGAAAAGGAAAAGAATAAGGGGGAGAGGAGCCAGAAATAGGAGGAACTAAAGAGGTACTCATAAGTTCTGGAAACAAAAGTACTTTAAGTTGCACTTCAAGAAATAAGCCCCTCACAGGAGGATAAATACTGCATGATCTTCACTTACATAAGGTATTTAAAATAAGTCAAACTTAAAGAAGCAGAGAGCAGAATGGTGGTTTGCTAGAAGCTGGGAGGAAGGAGAAGTGGGGGGGTATTCAATGGGTATAACATTGTGCTCTACAACATTGTGCTCAACAGCACTATATTATACACTTAAATGTTTAAGATAGTAGCTCTCATGTTAAACAGAGCATACTTTATTTAGTAGCTTCAGCTAAAGGGTACCTGAAAAGATAGACTTCCCACATTACTAAAGTGATTACATGATGAATGCAAGGCACTATTTTTATCTTATTCCATAGTTGCTTCTCCAAGCATGGCAGCATACTTAAATGGGAATAGCATTCTCCTTTCAATTCAAAGTGAACATCTATTCCAAGCAATAGTTATACATGAACAATGTTTGTCGGTGGTGAGAGTGAAAATTAAGTTGCTCAAATTATGAGGAGCCTAACTTACGGGTCGGGGATATGTAAATGTAATTGATTGCTCAATTAAAAAAAAAAGTACAAATAAAGATTGAAAAATATCTCTAAACATTAACAACATTGTTGCATAACTTTAGATAAACTGCTTGAACTGTTTGATAAAATAAAGAGGGAACTGAGCCAGACCTTGTGTTTTCTGATTCAAACTCTGCCAAGGCCTGGCACACCAAAGAATAATTCTTTTATTTTTCTTTTCCAACAGTATTATGAGGTTTTGTTTCTGTGTTTTCTTTAGCCTTTTGATGAAATTTGAGCATATTTAGTCTATAAGATTTGATGTTTGATTGATAAAAATCAAGAATAATCAGATGTGTTATTTTCCTATGTATTACTGTGTAGTTTTTATGTGTTACTTCAATATTAAGATATGAAAATTATAGCTAGCTTTATTTTTGATGTTATACCATAGGCACATTCACTTTCCTTCTTACAATGCATGTAATTTAATTTGAGATTGTCCAGTACGAAAGTTTTGAAAACAGAAATAAATAATCCGTGTAATCTAATTTATAGCGCCCTTGTCGCACACTGTATCTGCTTTATACATTTGTAAAGAAATGCAAAAATTAATCATAGAACTCTAGGTAGCAACTGTAAAAGCATTTTGAAAATAAGCCAGTTGTGTTTTCTGTTTAAGAGGGAATGTTCTAGGGTAGAACTTTGGAGTGAGGAGGACAGGGAGTATTCTAATACTGTTTAAATCTAAAATATTAGTCATACAGATATGAATGTTAATTTTAATGAAGTATTTGTATATCAATTCTAATGAGTTTAAATTTCTTTCTAGGAAAGTCACCAGAACAACCGATTCACATTGTGTACGTTCCTTCTCATCTTCACCATATGCTCTTTGAACTATTTAAGGTATGACACTTTACAATCACTGCAGTTCTTTTGTAAGTTCCTTTATCATTTCTGACTAAACAGGAGCCTCACTATCCTCTCACAAGTGAGCTTCTGTGCACCTAAAAGGAGGATAGAGTTAATGTTTGAAAGGGTACATAGAGTTCATTGTAGCATCAATGTGTATCTGAGAATGCACAATATGATTCATGGTTCTCAGAGCTCCCTATTGCCATTATTTGTTCAGGTGTCCAACAAGGCACTATTCATTCGTTTATTCATTAAGACAGTTCATGGGGTGAATGCTTCAGGGAATGAGGCCTCGTTCTTCCACCCCCGCAGGCTGTCCAATTCCAAATCCAGAGGTTCAGGTCCGGACTTACTGTAAGTGGCAGGGTCTCAACCTGGGTCTAGAATGTACTCAGAGGACAGTCCATTCCTCCAGGGATCTACTTTAATGTGCATAGGAGTCATCTGGCGGTTTTGTTAAAATGCGAATAGCGATTCAGTGGATCTGGGGTGAGGCCTGAGATACTGAATTTCAAATAAGCTGACAGGTGTTGCTGCTGGTCCACAGCCCCCTCTCCGTGGCAAAACTGGAGGGAGTGCTTCTCAAACTTCCCTGTGCCCTAGAGTCACCCGGAGGGCTTGAGAAAACACAGGTCCTTGGCTCTGCCCTAGGCAGAGATTTTGGTTCTCTAGGGCTGAGAATATGCATTTCTCACAGGCTCAGAGGACGCAGGTGTTACAGGTCTGGGTAGCCAGGCGCTCAAATCAGATCCTGTCATAGGTTCTAAGACCAACTACAACTCTTCTTATACCAAAAGACAGAAAAACCCCTGGAGCCTTGTGGTGCTTCCGAGAGCCACCTGGACTAGGGAGGAGAGAGCCTAAAGACATGAAATTTACTTCTAAATCTGATATAACACCTCTCAGAAGTAACTGTTTCCTAACTTATTCTAATGTTAGTACAATGAGTTATTGGTTATACAACAAACATCTGATCTATTTTACGTCACTTTAGCTAATGTTTAGAACTTAATATCAAATAGAAAAAAGAAAGCAGAGCATTTGCTAGAAGGTTAGAGAGGAAAATGAGTGAAATAAACTGAAACTGTATCTGTATAAGATTCATCCAGTTGTCTGAAAACTTGAGTTTCTTCCCTGTGAAAGGGCAAAAGATACTTTTTTTGTTAATTTGATTTACTTTTAAATTGAATGGTCCAACTCATAGATTTATATTGACATCATTGGTAAAATTTAAGATTATAATCCCATGCAATTTGAAAGTTAATTTAGAATTATTTACTGTCCTTTTAAATGGTAACAACTTTTTCCCAGCAACTATTTTAAAAACCAATAAATTGGTTTGATGATTCACTGTTCATTTGTTATGTATAGTCTTTGGTGTTTGGATGTAAAATGTAATGGAAGTACGGAAAACAGAGAGCTAGGAAATGGACTATAAAAAACCATTTGTATGTTTAAATTAAGCTTACAGATAAGACCTTGACGGCTAGCAGAATTGTTTTTCTATTAGACATTACTGCTGGGAGCTATTTTCATGCTAAATGAATATTTTTCATTATACACCTTATATGACATAGTCATAAATGCCTATTTACAGAGTTGTTTTAACTACTAACTTAAAAGAAATAGGAACTTCAAATAATTTTCTGTGCTGCTTTTATTTTATACATAAAAACAGATATTTATTGTCCCTCATTCTTCTGGCATTGAATTTCTTGTGTTTTTGTTTTCTCTAGAATGCAATGAGGGCAACCGTGGAACACCAGGAAAACTGCTCTCCCCTCACACCTATTGAGGTGACTGTGGTCTTGGGGAAGGAAGACCTTACAATTAAGGTAACCATTCTCTATTTCTCTTTTTGAGGGTCTCTCAAGAGAATTAAAGTCACTAATAACCTCTCTGCCTTGAGCAATAGATCAAAGGCGTATACTAAGTGACTCTTCAATGAAGAAAAGACATTTTTATAGAGACAAATGCACATTGTGTTTAATGCATAGCTCTGATGACTTGTTTGTTGGTTTAAGATTTCAGACAGAGGAGGTGGTGTTCCCCTGAGGGTCATCGACCGCCTCTTTAGTTACACCTACTCCACTGCACCAACTCCTGTGATGGACAATGCCCGGAATGCTCCTTTGGTAAGACCAATCGTATGGCAAAGTTCTTCCCAGCCACATAGTTCTAAAGGTAGAGCTCAGATTACAAGGAATTATTTAGGCAAGTTAATCCATTTAAATTGGGCATGGGGGATATGAGAAAGAATGATAAAGCAAACGAAAAACAGTGAGCCCTGACTGATGGGGCTCAGTGGATTGAGTGCCTGCCTACAAATAGAGAGGTCACCAGTTCGATTCCCGGTTGGGACACATGCCTAGGTTGCATGCCAGGTCCCTGGCTGTGGGCGTGGAAGAGGCAAGTGATCGGTGTATCTCTTGCACATCCATGTTTCTCTCCCTCTCTTTCTCCCTCCCTTTTCCTCTCTCTGAAGATAAATAAATAAGGAAAAAAAATAGTGAAACAACTCAAGAGATCTCTGATTGGAAGCAGAAGATATGTATCTAGGTTCTAGGGCATCAGTATCAGGCAGGATAATAACTCCTTCCTCCATTTTGTATTTCAATGGTCACGACCACATCTTTACCAATAACCAATCTTCTCTCCAGGCCGGTTTCGGTTATGGCTTGCCAATTTCCCGTCTCTATGCCAAGTACTTTCAAGGAGATCTGCATCTCTACTCTTTATCAGGATATGGAACAGATGCTATCATCTACTTAAAGGTATGCTTTAAACTCAGTAGAAAAAAACACATTTCTGAAAAGATTGCTGCTTTTACAGCCCTGAGTTCTATGGTCCACAGTGAAAACCCCAAGCCGAGTTAATGCAAATAATGACTACAAGTAATTCTATTTTCTGTTTGGTATGTGTAGAATAATCTTTAATATCTAATGTGGTAACTTACAAACAAGGAGGTGGAGCCAGGCTACCTGCCTCAAGCGAAGCAAAATTATTGCCTAAGAAGCACTTTAGTTTCAGAGCGAGGACATGCTCTTGTGAATCTTTTGAGGCAACTCCTCTGGCATCTGTGAGAATAGCTGTACTTTTGTTTTACTTCAGTTGTGAAAAAAAAGATGCTAATAATGCTCTAGCCTAAAAAATAACTGATATCAAGTTATTCAATACTTTAAGCTGATGTTAGAAATCCAGGGAAAAGAAAGCTGACTGCCACCTAGCATTTTCTGTTTAAACTTTAAAACTTGGTACATGTTTTTTTCTATTTCTTTGAAAGCCTTGATTTATTTGTTAAGGCCACTGTCCTGATTCTGCTTATCGTTTGCCAACTCCAGGGTCCGGCACAAATAACACCCTTTTTAATGCAAAATCATAAGCATATAATTCTGTAACATAATATCGCACTCAAGCACACCATATGACATTTTAGGTGAAATGTTCAAATTAAAACTCTAAATTATTACACCCATATTATTACCCTACCAACCACACTCAAGCAGGCATTACTGCTTCTGGGCCCTGTATTTCAAACTGAAAATATATTTACAGATGTTAGCAACTAAACATTAAACTTCTAGGCTCCCATTCTGTGCCTGGGAGTTATTTGCTAAATGGTCCTTGACCATCTGAAATAATTAAACATTCATTTTTTAAATAAGCCTAAGTTTTCAAAGTATTGGGAAAGATTAATAGGTTATAGATTTGTAGTATCAGATTTAATACATTAATAGTACTAGATTAGGACTCTTTTATCATAGATACAAAGGTTTAGCTCGGAAAGAATGGCTTTGCTTTTTATCTCTATCATATCAGTAATGTCCAAACAAGATACATGTGTGAATATTGAACGTAAATTCTATCCCCTAATTTAAATTGTATATATGCTGTTTTATCTCTTATAGGGTAGAGGTAATATTTATTTTTTAGTTTTCTTTTATACAGTGCCCAACATACTATCAGCTTTGGTGTGTTCTTATTTTGTGCTCTTATTACTGAATTAATTAAAAAAGTATATTTGAAAGGTTGACTACTTACCTCTGAATTTATTTTGAATAATCACTTCAAGTAAAAATTATGCCATGAATAATTTCTTTGGTTTTTTTCCTCACTCTCTTTTCAGGCTTTGTCTTCTGAGTCTATTGAAAAACTCCCCGTCTTTAACAAATCAGCCTTTAAACATTATCAGATGATCACTGAGGCTGACGACTGGTGTATCCCAAGCAAGGAACCAAAGAACCTGGCAAAGGAGACAGTGGCTGTGTGAAGATGGACACTCAGGACTCTTGAAGGGATCAAAGTGGGTCTGCCAGTGCTGCTTTCTGAATGTTTGCATGTGAACTCTTCTTCCCTCAAAAACAAACAACAGCAACAGAAACTCCTTCACCAGAACGCTGAAGGGAAGAGGAACAACGCTCGTTTCCGTGACCCAGCAGAGCACAGAGCTAGGGACGACCAGAGTTAACAGATGGCTATCTCTTTATTCTCTCAACATAGAATAATGCTTGAGTTTATATCAAACCCAAAAGAAGATATAAGCCTCAATTTTTCATCTCTTTTTTCAGCAGGAATGGGAAAGGGAGCAAAGTGAAGATACAGGCCATCAGTTTCAATGGACTGATATTTTAGACCGCTGGTTGATGCCATATTAATATTCATGGAACATTGTGTCAATTATACCAGTGTTTTCCTGCCTTTCAAAAATGTAGGGTTTATTTTACACTAGATAACTAGAAATGTATGTAAATGCATATTTCATATATATCTATGTGCTCTAGAGAGGAAAAACTGGTGACTAAAATAATATTCACTTTGAATGACGAATGAGTCAAAATATTTCATTCAAAGTTTCAGCCAAGGCACTGAGCCTATGTAAAAACTTAGAGGAAAGCTTTTTCTGAAAAATACAAGCTATTCCTGATAATACCTTTATTATGCTGCTTTCCATGTTCACACATCACATAGTACGTGAACACTTATTGCAAGGTGCCTAGTCTTGGGTGAATTTTAAAATATGTGCTGAATTCAGAATGTCGATGGTTGGAGGGAGAGGAGAATTGCCAAAGTGAAAAAATATCTCTCATCTTGCTTTGTTTCTAAATGAAACAGTAGACTGGAAAAACTGTTGTTAGGGAAAGGAGTCATGCCTTCAGAACCTAACTCAGAAAGAAGGGCTGTTCTCTACCCTGCAGTGGTAATAATCCAAAGACATCCATTTTCTAGATTTAAAAAGATGTGTTTTTGATATATTTAATTATACTCTTTACACTCCAGCATTAACATGTCTGTAAAAAAAAATCCTAATTATCAAATGACTCAAGGACATTAGAATTTAAATACTTCTTGAAGTATTTTTAACAAGTAGCCTGGAAGTAAGAGGATTTCATGCCAGGATGTTTTCATTGGTGAATCATGGAGATTGAGAGTTAATGAATGAAAGCTTTACTGCACATGGCACTTTGGGGAGTTCAGGTATAATATGCAGGTTGACAGGACAGTCTAGAACATTACCTTAGGGAAGTAGTGAAAATATAAAAGAAGGAAAGAAGAGAGAAGGAAGAAGGAAAGAAGGAAGGGAGGGAGGAAGGAAGGGAGGGAGGGAGGGAGGAAGGAAGGAAGGAAGGAAGGAAGGAAGGAAGGAAGGAAGGAAGGAAGGAAGGAAGGAAGGAAGGACATTTTGCTATATTTCCAACAAATTATTTCAAGAAATGATCTATATTTTCATGGACAAATTATTGGCAAGAGGATGAATTGGTGTTTTCCAAAACAGTATGACTTCTTTAAACGGTTTTCTCACTTTTGCAAGAAAATAGGCTTTAATGAGATAATAAACTCATGTGTCAAATCAATATTTAAACTGGGTTATGGAAAAAAGATTTTTCTGCATTGGAAAATAATCAGTACTGTCTATGTGTTTAACCTTACATTTGTGTTTAATATTGTCATGGCCCAGTGTTGTGGTACTTCTGGGAGTGGCCATACAAGCTTCCAGCTGTTTGTTGTGAATTTCAGGTTTTATCATCGGAAGTCCTAGATAGTGACTTTCATTGATGATAGGATTCTGGCATACGCATTTATTGATTACACAAAACTATTTTATAAGTTATTTGAATTTTCATTTTTTACTGAAATTTAAACATTTTTGTATGTAAATACTTGTATTTACCAAAGATTTAAAGCAGTTGATTAATTAATTCACTGTGAACTATCATGAAACACTAGAGAAAAAGAAATGTTGATATCTCAATAATAGCAGCTTCGTAAATGGAGTTCTATAAAATAGAAATAGACTACATTGGTATTTGTAAAATTTATGGAAGAGCTTTAGGATTCTACTGAATAGATACTAAAATGTTCAGACCCACTTAAGTTATTAATGTATAAATTGTATTTTTGACTTTAGGCCATGTACAGAGAAATGTGACAATTTTGATAATAAATATTTTTATTATAATAGCAGACATAGTCTTTTAAAGTTCTTTTTTCAAATTAATGGCAAAGTACTAAGAACAATTTGAGGTAAAGAGTTTCCTCATTTTACATTCAAGTCTAATTTATCTACATAAAAGGTATAACCTTTTAGGAATATTGAAATCAACTTAAAATCTTAATTATTAAACAAAAGATAAGTATTTTATAGCAGCCCAGAAATTTCTAATCATTCTTTGATATCTTGTGTATTCCCCAATAACACATAGTACAAAGTGTGTTTTATCTACATAAATATATTCAACAATAATTTTTGCAATGTATATATTTTGGTAAACTTACTTTAAAGTTTCACTTAATGACTGTATTTATGTAACAAATACAGTGGATCTCCAAAATAGTCACTCAGTTAATTTAGGCTCCCAAACAACTTCTGGATTAAATATCTGGATAATAATAAGGTAGAAATAGGATACAAATTACTAAATTAAGTGTAATATGTTTTATCTTTTCTATCTTCACAGTCACTAATCCTATTCTATCTTTAGACAACATTTTTTGCCCACTTCCATAATAGTAAAATTTTGCAAAGAAAAAGAAAAGGAAGGAGAAAATAAGAAAGAATGGAAAGGACGGAGAGAAGGAGGAAAGGAGGAAAGAAGGGGAAATTAGAATAAAATAAGATTAATAGAATAAATTTGCCATAACTAAATCAAAATCTTGTCAGAAAATCATATTTGAATAAAAAATGCCATCAGCCAAGACATTAGACCCTAAAGAAACTATACTAATGCCCTTCATCAAGGACACTCAAGGCACCGTGTCTACAGGAAGCACATGTACATATGCATACACACAGTCAAGCATGTATTCACACAGTGGATTTAGTTGTAAATTTACTCGAATGAAGCTGCTTGGGAGGTAGGGAATTTGTGCATCCACATTTCTATAAAAACTATAAGAGATCTTCTCATCATCCTCCATTTATACACACAAATATCTTTATGACACAGTCAATGTGCTATCCCCCCCAAAGATATTAATTTTCAAGTCTAACAAAGTGGGCTGAATAGTCATCAAAACTATCTTTATACTGTTTCTTCTAAATTTCAAATTTGTTTAGAAATGGTAGAAGCATTTGATCTTAGCTACAATGACATGTGCAAAGACAAAGAGGGAGATATCACTGTGGGCTAGTTAACTTCCTTGGGAATTGACCTTGGTAATTTCTTTACATATTTTTTACTATATTTTCAGGTATTGTACTTACACTTAAACATGTACCAACAGTATACATGTACTTGGAATCTTCAGGTCACTTTGGTCTGTCCTGGTGAAAGAGTTGAGGGACTTTCATAATTTCACAGGAGCTTACATAAAAAGTGCCGAGCCCCCAACCATGAGCACTCAGAGCAGAGGGACGCGATCCCAATTAGCATTCTATCCAGAAATATCTTTTTGAATTTTTCACTTTTTACCTTACATCACAGTTGTGTAGGTTCTCAGTTAACATTCCCTAGATAAATACCTGAATAAACACTTAAATAAACTAAATAAACTTCTGTCAACAGAACAGCATCCTTACATTTAAGGGCAGATTGGAACCATGTGTTAAATAAATGTACATAAAATTTTACAAGTTTTATATTTTAAATGGTATACAAGAAGTCTTATAACATGTAGGAACTCTGGAATACTTTCCTAAACCAACTTTTTCCAAAAGTTAAATTGTAACTGATGCCTGTGTGTGTGTGTGTGTGTGTGTGTGTGTGTGTGTGTGTGTGTGTGTGTGTGTTACTTTCTATTGGTGGCCTTTGGCTATTGGAAATTATCACATACTTCAAAATAAATTAAATAATGGATAAAAGTTAGTAGTAAGGAAATTTCTTGAGCAAATGGGTTGGTGTTTCAAATTTTATAACTACTCTTTCTTCTTGTTCACCCTGGACTAGATGAAAACTATTACTATCCACATTTAATGGCAGCTTAAAAAGAATGAGCAACTATCCTTTAATTAGATTTTTCAGTTCCTAACCAAGTACAAATAGACACTAAAAGGCACTCAAAACCAACAGAAATGTCAGTGACCTTAAAAACATGTTGAATCTATCAAATGATGTGAGCTGTTTTAGTGATAAATCCAGCAACAAAATAATCTGTCTCTGAATTTTAAGACATCATTTTCATGTTTATTGCTACCATTTAACATAATGAAAATAACACAGGACTGGTTGTCAAATAATACAATATAGCTAGGAATTATTTATTAGCTCTGTTTTCCATAAATATAAAAGGATGCTTTAATATCTAAGGCAAATAGCCTATTGAATGACAAAGCCTTGAGTTTTTTCATCAATTTCATTAAAACTATGCCCTTTAATGTGTTTCTAGCCCAAAAATATACTTTGATATCTGATAGCATTGCCCTTAACTCAGTCTTTTAAATTTATTTTAAGGTGAACAAAATTTTTTAAAAGTTATAAATTTGTGATCTGAAAATAAAATAAATATTTGAAAACAAAGAAAAACCTTATACCATGTTCATAGGCAATTCTCTTTAGGCGTTCCAATTTTCTCTCCTACCTAAATGAGATCTAGTTGTTTAAGGAAGTCACTTCCAATGCTAAGGTTTTTTAATCTATACTTTCTAATGATTCTTTACCAGATACCCAGCCTCCAATCTCTCTTCAGTCCAAATTAGGCTTCTTATAATATGATTATCAAGCTCAAATTTCTTTGCTGGCTTCCCAGTGCCTAAGAATCTGATATTTATAGTTTTCTACAATCCAACCTACATGACCAACCTTATAACTTACATCTTTCATTCTTGAACAGTTTAGTATATTTTCTTCTAAATATGGGACAAACGTATTTCCTTTTACTCATTATAAATATACCTTCCAGCAGTATCTTTTCTCTTCTCTCTGTTGGTTTTTTTTTTCCAAAATGTTGCTCAACCTTTTTAGACCCAACTCAAATTCCACCTCCATAGACAAAGCATCCAAGTTCAAAGTGCCCTCTCTCTCAACTTTCTCCTTTAAAATCTCAAGTGGTCAGGACCATTTTAGTTTTTATTACACAATTCCTAAGGTTGCTAGTTAAATGTTACAGAGATGTAAAATCCAGAAACCCAACTAGATTGTATATTCTATACAATCCAGTACCATGAATTACACATACCTGTATAAAACCATGATGCTAAGCCTGTTTCATGTAGAGTATAGATATTGAGAAATATTTCTTGATGAATATTTTTTTGATGAGTTGAAAAGACAGATGGTAGCAAAGGAACAATTCTGAAGTGAGCAGATTATTCTGTTGGTCTAAAACCAAAGCAGCCCATCTTAACAGTATTTTTAATGACCTGCATCATTTCTTCTCAGTCTGGGAAAGATCCATATTTATTTCCAGATGGATCATGGCTGTAGCATATACATACAAACTAAATTAAACATTTTATTTTAGGCTAAAATCTAGGTTTTTGTCCTCACAGAGCTTAGAGTTCTATTGAAGAGTTAAAGAGACACAAACATGTAAGAAGCTGACCAAAGATTTTAGTAACAGTTCAAGTTTACAGTATAGGAGATGCCATAATTTCTAACATACATACTCTGGCAAAGGCACGATCATTAACTGTAAAAACTTAAAGAAGACAACGTGATGTCAGGCTAAAGTGAATGGGTGGAAAGAGGACAATTTATGTGAGGAAAATGGGAAGACCATGAACAAAGTATCTGAGGGAGGGAAGAAAGGGTAAGTTGAGCTCAACTGAAGAGTTTGAACATCTGGAGGTGGTACCTGGTCATCAAGGAGCCACTTACTAGGGCAGTAAAAAGATCAAAACAGTTCTGCTTGCTAAAAATCTTAAGATCATGTGTTTCACTGTCAGTTTATCTACAAAATGCAGTGCAATAATTACTACAATTTTTTCACATGAGAAATTAATTTAAAATTCAAATAACTGAAGAGAGCACCTGTGGTATACTGACTGATGTTGAAAACAGTGGGTTTTTGCCCAAGTGTCATAACAGTCAGGCATGTAGATTCTGCAGCCAGAATTGCTTAGATTTCCATCCCTGCTCTGCCACTTAATAGCCATGGGAAGTTACATAACTTGTCTCTCTGCCTTAGTTTTATAATCTGCAAAATGGGGATAATATAGCATCTTCCTTATAGGGATGCTGCAAAAATTAAAATGCGTCCATATATGTAAAGCATGTAAAATAGTCCTTTGCATATAAAATTTATATAGGTATTAGCTCTTTTATCAATCATGTTATTTAAGCATTAAATACTGGATCCTAAGCTCCTATACAAAGTTGATAGAAATAAAAATAAAGTACCATCCTACAGGTATGAATTCATAGAGTATAAGCATTCAATATCACTAATAATAACACATTTCCTCTAATATACTCTGTTGCCCGACTGTGACTCCAGGGTTGTATTGTGAGATCCAAGTATGGTCTGTGACCTGAAACCACTGAACAAGACAGAAACCTGTTCACGCAGGGGTCAAACCCCGATCTTTGACCTGTTTAGTAATGCTGTCCAACCAAAAGCTGGGTACATGATTGTGCCATGTGTTATGTAATGAGATTTATTAAATCCTCTAGGTCCCTTTCAGGGCACTGCACAAAGCTGTACCTCCCTGAACGCTGAGGAGAATTGGCTCACTACACATTATAAATCCACACACAGACAGAGAAACACAGCACTTTGTTCAGATAATTGTTTGTCAAATGGATGAAAAGAGACTTAAGCCATTAAAGTAACAATTAAGCTTCAGTTGTCCCCAGGCAGCCTCTTGGCCCTTCTAAATATCACATTTCATCTTGTGAACACAGACCTCCAAATGATTATAAAAAAAGCACAAAACATGAATTTTTAAAAGCCTTTGAAAACAATTCCCTAGCTTGTTGAAAAGTAAAGAATGTTTTCTTACTTTTTCTTTTTTTAGAATGCCTGACAATAGTTCTTTGTAACTAAAAATATACCTGTATTTTTTAGTGGTGTAGAGTCAGATGAGATTCTTT